CTACTTGGTGTACAGCCTCTGCTTCTCCACACTGAGAAGTCACAGTTGCGAATGTTTAGGCATGTGTTGCGAATGCCTCCAGAAAAGAAGGCTAAGGAACTGTTCCTTGCAAATCCGACCGGCAGAAGGCCATGTGGACGGCCAAGATTAACTGGGTGCAAATATATGGAAGGAGTCTGTTCCAGACTGCAATTGTCTTCTGCCGAAGTTCAGTCTCTGGCACAGGATCGGGAACGTTGGAATCTGATGCGTCTGCCTGAGCGACCCGAAAAGATAAGCAATCATGCAAGATGGGGATCATATCCGGCTACTTAGAAGACCAAATATAAGGTTCACTTTAAATCCAGTTCTACTGTTATGTCGAGCGTCCAGTGCAAGATTTTTCATAGGGCCAAGTGTAAGGTAGCGTCTAAGGCCGTGTTTAAGGCCTAGTCTAAGGATTCGTTTAAGCCTCGTATAAGGCCAAAATTTTCATCTTTATCTTCAAGGCCGCTTTTTCTTAAGGCCAAAATTAGGGACAATTTTGAGTCCACGTTGGAAGCAAGTTTAAGGCTAAATGAAAACAAAACTTAAGTCTGAATTTAAGGCCATACCTATGGCTAGCGTTAGTTACAGTTTAAGACCATATCAACGGCCCGCTCCAATACTATGTCTATGTCGAAGTTTATGCCCGGCTCACTCCAAGTCTAAAGCCAATAAAAGGCCAAATCAAATGTCAAGTTTAGGATAAGTTTAAGATTAAGTCTAGTTCAAAGTTGAGAATAAGTGCCAATGGCTAAGGCTAACATTAAGGCTAAGGTAAAACCAAGTTAATGCCAAGCATGAGGAAACGTCTAGAGCCTAGTCTAAGGCCAGGTTAATTCCAAGCCTAAGGCCACGTTCAAGGCCACGTCAAAGATTATGTCTAAAGCTTGGGTTAAGGAAGAGTTTAAGAAAAACTTTGTTTTTGTTTAAGGCCGAGTATAAGGCTAAGTTTAGAGCCAGGTTTACGGGCACATCTATAAAGAGTCCATGGGCAAGTTAAAGAAGACGCATACGGCCAGTGGTAAAGTCGCGTTTATGGAATAGCATTAGCGCAAACGTAAAGTTGTAGGATATTTTTTTGGAGGGAGAGGGAGAGATAGGGCAAATGTTATACCCCGTTTAAGGCTAAGCTGAAACGTAGGTCTAAGGCCACTTTTCCGGCCAACTTCAAGGCGAAGTCTAAGGCAAAGTCTAAGGCCTGGTGATGGCCAAGACAAGAATTACTTTAAAGAAATTTCTAAGGTCTACTATAAGGCTAAATTAAGCACAGAATTAGGCAAACCTAAAACTACGTATATGGTCAAGTCTAAGGACACGTCTAAGGACAAGTCTAAGGCAAAATTTAAGGTCAAGGATAAGACAAGGTTAAGGTCATGTTTAAGGCCAAGTACAAGGTAATATCTTAGCCCTGACTTATGACCAGTGTAAGGCCGAAATTAAGGCTTGTTTTTCGCCATGTCTAAGGGATTATCGAAGGCCAATTCTAGGTATGCATTTTTGAACAATGTCAAGGCCACCTGCAAACCATAGTCTAAGGCCAAGCGTAGGCCAAGATTAAAACCAAGCATGACGTTAACTGTAAAGCCAACATTAAGGCAAAGTCTAAGGCAACGTCTAAGAAAAAGTTTAACTATAGGTATAAGGTCATCTCTAAGGCGAAGGCCGACTCTAAAACTAAGTTGAGGTCAGGT